GTGCATGACATGAAGGCTCATATTATTGTGCGTTCATCCTAAATTTATCATACATGTATTGCAATAACATTCAAAATATGACCACATTTTGTTGTTTATTTGGGGTGAAAACCGATAAAGCGACTCTAAGAAAAAGGCAAAAAGCCTAGAATAGCCTTCTTTTGGAGGAGTTACAGAACCAGATGGGTTATACCACCAGAAACCGATTTATTATAAATTATAGAAAAAAAGAAGGCGGTACCGGCAGAGATGGTAAAAAAAGATTAGTGGAACACGGTGGGTCTAGGTTGCTTCTCACCTTTTGGATAACTAATTGAATGCAGAACAGAGCCGAGAAAAGATCCAAATACATAGAGTCGCCTGACATATTACATCATTTCATCAAATTCAGGGGATAATGATAACTGTTCGAAGCAACGATGCTGGGTCCACGGATTGCACAATACAGAAAAAATAAGGTGTGTGTCTCACTATACCTCCACCTCACACTGTCTTTAAGCATCAGTCCCAGGTAGACTGTGTATCTAGATAAGAAAGGCAAAAGGAAACAAAAACAGACTTAAGTCTATAATAATATGGGATAATATCTTTATAATCCTAGAAAAAGAATTCCTATGTGGGACTCAGACGTCATTAAAATTAAAGATTTTTGTGCGCTGAAAGCAACTGTTTGGAGGGAAAAAGGCAATTAAAGAGTAATACAAGATATTTATAACATAACTAGCAAGTGGCTTAGTTGTTAAATATATAAAGGACTTCTATAAGCCAATAATATAAATACACACATCCATTAGCCAATATAAAATGGGCTTGAGCAGGTAGTTTTGAAAAAAGTGTAGATTTAAATGGCCAGTAAAAATACCAACATGTCCTGCTTTTCCTGGAACAGTTTTTTGGCTTATGCATTCTAAGAATGCTATTCATTTGTCTTGGACATTTTCATTTTTAAATAAAAATTTGTCATTTATAGCTGCACTAAAATAAGCCATAAAATGTTCTGTAGACTGCAACTCTGTTCCTCTGGCTTCTGTCCGGATCATGTCTAGTAGTACGGGACACATACACTTTCAAAGTGTATTTCACACTTTAACCCATCGTTAACTGTATCGGTTATTTTTCTGGTGCTGACTTATCTCCCCAGCTCCTTGATCATGTTACTGACTGAGTTGCTACATGACGAAGGCAACTTAGAGAAGGAAGAGTTTATTTGAGCTTATGGCTCCAGAGGGGTAAGAGTCCATCATGGCAGGGAGGCATGGCAGCAGAGGTGGCCAGAGCAGAAAGCCAGTGATTACATCTTCAAGCAGGCACAGGAAGCAGAGAGAGAGACAGGAAATTTGGCAATGGTTAAGAACTCTTAAAGCCCACCTCTAGTGATGTGCTTCTTCCAGCAAGGCCAGACCTCCTAAAGCCTCCCAAAACAGCACTACAAACTGGGGACAAATGTTCAAATACTTGGAGCCTACTGGGGACATTCCCATTCAAACCACCACATTCATTCTTCAGGCCAACCGGAGATACCACACTTTGAGTTCTCCAACTTCTCTTGCTGTTTAAATTTAGGACACAAAAATCAGGATAGCGTTCTTCCAGTCTGGAACTGTAATGGAAGACATTCTGGACACTGCTGCCTCCCACTGGACATTTGGTATAATAGCAGCCACCAGTTTCACCACCCCTGTGCAGGGGCCTGGCAAACTACAAACCCAGCTGGTACAGTAAACAGGAAAGCCAAGGAACTAGAGATTAGAGGTACTTGAACTAGGAGCAGAAAATACAGGCTGAGAGTTCCTGGCAAAGAGTGAATCAAGGAACTGGGGAGATAACTCAGTCAGTAAAGTGTTTGCTGGGCAAGTGTGAAGACCTGAGTTTGAATCTCTAGCACCTATGCAGAAGCCAGGCCTGTGGGTACCCATCGGGAATCTCAGTGCTGGGGAATGAGAACAAGAATAAAAATCTGTGCATGTTTAATGTTTTTTCACACATTTTCAATCCAAGGTTGGTTGAATCTACAGGTAAGGCGCACAACACCTAGTACACATTGTACTAGGTAACTCATAAATAAAAACTGTTTAAAAAAATTTTTTTTACTGCATGAATGATGTGTTTGTGTATTTGGCTGTGCATATGTATGTATATGAGAGGGATTATGCATGTGTCACAGGCTTGCTGTGGAGGACAACCTCCAGTGTCAGTCCTCACTTTCCACCTTGAGACCAAGGGTCTTGTTCACCTCTGTGCGTTCCAGGTTGAGTGGATCTCAGGCTTCCAGGCACTCTCCCGTCTCTCTGTCTTCCATCTCATCAAAGGAGTGCTGAGATAACAGATGTGTGCCGCCCTGCCTAGCTTACATGGGTTCTGGGGATCCAAACTTAGGTCCTCACACTTATGTAGCAAGTGTTTTATCCACCGAGCCATCCCCCCAGCACCCAACTGTATTTTAGTTAGAGATAATACAGATACAAACTTTGGTGGAACATTGCATTGGAGTAAAAGCTGTATCAAGAGAGTGAAAGACAATCTACAGGGTGGCAGAAAATATTTGCAGGTCATCTAAGGGATTAAAATGCACCAAAATATACCAAACTACAGCACAACAACAAAACAATAAATGGTCAAAGGATTTGTACTGATATTTCTCAAAAAAAATATCCAAATGGCCATTAAACACAAAAGATGCTCACTATTAGTAGTCATTAGGGGGAATGGAATTAAAAACTGCAGTTAAATAGCACTTAAGGGTAGGGGAGGAAAGAGAAGGAAGAAATGAGCAAGTGCTGATAAGGATGTAGAGAAATCGGAGTCTTCAGATACACCAAGTGGAAATGCAAATGGTATGTTACCACTGCTGTGGCAAACAGTGTTCTGGTTTCTTACAAAGTGAGGCACAGAATTCCCATAGGATCCAGCAACTCCACTTCCAGATTTATATCCAAAGGAACTGACAGCAGAAACTCAAACAGATTCTTGTATACAAATGTTTATAGCAGCATTACTAACAATAGTAAGACAGAAATTTCCCAAATGCCCAGCAGATGAACGGATAAAGAAAATATGGTATATACACACAATAATATTGTGGGATGCATCACCAGAGAAGACCACTCAAAGTTTTGCCAAATGAAAGTCGTTACTGGCCAGGCCTACTATGCAAGGGTGTTGGGAACCCAAGTGTGCAGCTCCAGGCCATCTCAAGGGTAAGCTTTTATATAGAGAAATCATAACCAGGGGTGAAAAGCTTAAGTTCCCAAGCTTACAGGTGGAGAGTCCTCTTAGCAATTTCTATTCTATTAAGCAACAATTACTATTTTGCAGAAGCAGGCCAAGCATAACCTATAGAAGTCATAAATCTGCAGTTAGCAGGAACACTCTGGGACACTCTGACCCGTTCCCAAGACAACTGGGGTCCAGCTGACATGTGTTCCCATACCCTGGGCCAACTGCCTGTTAATTTCAGAGACTAGAGTCAACCTAAACTTTAACATATCATAGCTATGGGCAAGAAGGTGCCCTATTACAAAAGAATATTATTTGGTCTTAAAAAGGAATGAAATTCTGATACATACTCCAACATGGGTGAATCACCAAAACATTATACTAAGTGAAAAAGCAAGACACAGGAAGACAAATATTTAATGACAACTTACACAAAATATGGGCAAATTTGTAGAGACAGAAAATAGAATAGAGGTTCCCAGGAATAGGGGACATGAAGAGTGATTTTTTTAAATGGGTACAGCATTTCTATTTGGGATGAAAGCTATGTTTGCCAAAAATTTTATACACACATACACATGCACACATATGTACATGCATACACACAGTCTCTATTTCTTACCCATCACTAATCATGCTTCAGTAATGTTTGGGCAATGGGAGGCATCAGGCTGGAGGAGAAGATGGCAGTCTCCACAGGAGTTAAAGTTCACGTAATTTTCGCTTGTTGGAAGAAACTAAAGGAGAAAAAAGAGTAGGCGATGGCATGGTAAGCTGGGGCCTTGAAGACGATGAAGATATGACACTTACAATGGGCATGATTATTGGGACCCCAAGGACAAACTATGAAAACAGAATACATACCCTGAAAGTAGAATGTGGACCTAAATACCCAGAAGCTCCTCCATCAGTTAGATTTGTAACAAAAATTAAAATGAATGGAATAAATAATTCCAGTGGAATGGCGGATGCACAGAGCATACCAGTGTTAGCAAAATGGCAAAATTCCTATAGCATTAAAGTTGTGTTTCAAGAGCTAAGACGTCTAATGATGTCCAAAGAAAAGATGAAGCTTCCACAGCCACCAGAAGGACAGACATACAGCAATTAATTTTAGCGGATCTCAAACTTATCTTATATCAACAACTTTCTACTCATGTTAAAGTCATGATTAAATTTCACAATGAAAAATACACACATATTAAGTAAAAGAATTTCAGCTGGTAAACATGGCCCGGACATTTGTAAGAATATATTAATATATGTATACCTACCATGTGTTCAGGTAACAGGAGAAAATGTGCAGCACAGTTTTTCTTTCTCTTGTTAAGGCATTATCACTTAAACACGATCCTGGAGTACTCAAAATTGAACTCAGGTTACAAGCCAAAGGCATGGCATGGAGTGTTCAGAGGGCAGTGGAAACTTTCACGGCTCTGAAAACTAAAATCTCAAGAAGGAAGAGCAGAAATGACTTGCTCTATCCATCTTAGAGAGCTGCAGTTGAAACTGTTTAAAGTAGCAGGTGCAGTGAATATTGTCACACATTGTGTTAATATTTGAAGAAGTGTGGGTGCTGACTACAAGGAGTATCAAAAATAGGCTCAGGATTGTTTTGATGCCTGTATTTATAATAAAAAGTTGTTTGGGGGATTGATGGATTTCTGTTAAAAGCTATTTCCGTTTTTTACAGGTAAGAGACATGATAATATTTGCTTACAGTCTTTGTTTAAGAAACCATGCTTTTAAGTTTTAAGTGAAGTCAACAAAAAGGAAATACGTGTATGGATATGTGATTTTGAGATTAAAGTTAGTCTTAAAATGTAACTAAAATGTGGAATGTGAAAAAAAGAGAAATGTTTGGGCAATTATTTGTCAGTGGTATTGAGACATTTTGGGTGACGACCAGACACAGATTGGCACTGCAAAGCTGAGGAGCGACTCATTCTCCTCCCAGTGATTGATTACCCCAGTGATTTCCTGTCTCTTCACACACAGGTCTTTTTTTTTGTCCTGTAGTTCTCGGGGCTGGCACTGTAGCTCTGCTGATAGAGCACTTGCCTAGTACGCAGGAAGTCCCGGGTTCAGTCTGCATCCCTGCATAAACCTGGTGCTGGGGGCCACACCTGTAATCTCAGCACTTAGCAAGTGAAAGCAGGAGTCTCAAGGCCAGCGTGGGATATGGGGAGAGTTTGGACCAATCTGGGACGTGGAAGAGCGAAGGAGCTGTTCTGCCCTGAGAGGCAGGGTCAGGCCAGAGTTCACGTCATTCTCTGAATGCTGGAACTGTGCTCTTCATCACCCCAGTGGCCTTACTGATAAGCTCAGTAAATAGGGTCAGGGCAGTCTTGCATTTTAGCAGTAAAATCGGCAACACCTGCTTCCGTTGCTGCCCAGCCTGAGCAGAGCTGGAGGGTATTTCCAAACTTGGCTCTGGCTCGGTACAGGAGGGGCTGCTGGGACACTGCCCTTGTCCTCCTTTAACCCCGAGAGCTTAGCGGCTGCTCCCCTCTGCCCTCATTTACCAAGTATAGATTTTTCTTTCCTTGGAATGATGGAACTTAGATTGAAAGACGGCTCAGTGAGGATTTGCCAGCCTTTTTAGAGATGAAGGACTACGTATTTGGAGAGATGAAGTGATTTGCCGTCATAGTTCCCCCTCAGTTGAAAGAAAAGACTCGGAGCTGTAGTGTAACCACATCCCGGAGATACATGGTCCTGTGTTCAGCGTCGCCATGCTGAAATTGGCAGTAGTTGGAGTGTTTACACTTCAAAAATGGGCAAGACTATAAACCATGGTTGCTTCTCTGGGAAAACTGATTAAGCCTTTTCTAGTCCGCTCCTGCATACAACCGGATTCTACAACCTGATTCTCACTTAATGCCAAAGCATTGTGAGGTAGGAAATGTTTTAAAAGTGTTTTTCTGTAATACTATAGCAGTGAAGTATAGTAATTTATAAGATTTTGATTAGTTAAAAAATCCAACCACACATACAAATAGACTAAGGAGTTGAAATACAACTTTTTTTTTAGAAAGTGTTTTCTTTATTTTTGAGAGTTTCATACATGCATACAATAAAATATGTTCACATTTATCCTCCATTTGCCCCCATTAACTCGCCCTGTATCCTCTAATATAGCCTCCTCTCATTTTCTAGCTATTCATCATTATTATTATTATCTTTATATTTTGGTCTTTTTGAGACAGGGTCTCTCTGTGGCCCCAGCTGGCCTGGAACTCCCATTATAGACCAGACTGGACTTGAACTCACAGAAATCTGCCTACCTCTGCCTCCTGAGTGCTGAAACTAAAGGTGTGCACCGCCATGCCTGGCTTCATATCTATTTTTAAAATTAAGTTCATTAAGTCCAACTAGTGCTGCCCATATATGCATGTGTATGGGACTATCCAGAAGCCTGGGAATCCTATCAGTAGCAACAGCCTCAAAGAAGGATTCTCCCTCCCCCAGCAACTATCAACTGCAAATAGCTCTTAAGTAAGGATGGCGCCTAGAGTTCATCTAACCCATCTCTGCTGGAATTTGGGCTGGTTTGATCTTGTGCAGGTAACCACAGGTGCTATGAGTTCATGGTGGTGATAGCCATGTCATGCCAAGAAGTTAGCATGAAATAGCATGTTTATACTATTTCTGTGTTCCAGTGCTGAAGAATAAAATAAATAATCCAGGTTAGGGGTGCATCACAATGGTAGAGCATTTGTCTCCGACGTGAAGGAGGCCCCTGGTTCCATCTTCAATGCCACAAAAAATAAAATAATAATTCAATGATAAAAGTTCTTCAGAGGTGTTATACACGTCTACATTTTAGGACATTTCCGAGTTTCTGTGTATTATTATCCAGTGTCCAGTAGATGGCGCTGCTATACCGTCTCTTTGGTCAAATTAGACTTGGAGTTTTTGAATAGGGTAGAGTGGAATAACCAGCTCTTTAACCTAGTTCTAGGCAAGTTCCAATCCTGCCACCCCCGCCCCTAAAATTCTGTACTGGAGCAAGCACAAATATTTTTAAAACCTAGGAAACTAACGTTCCCAGGCATTTACCTTTAATACCTTTCCTGAGACTCTAAAGGCTAGTATATCCTCTCTAGGTCTTACTGTTTGGATGAGCAGGCAAGTCCTGTCACAAATCTTCAACTATTCTTTTTCCACATCAACAATAAAATCTAGAGAGATTATGATACTCTAAAAATTAACTTGTTACACCCAGAAAATTCCTTTAGAGAAAATAAAAGGCCATAAGGCAAACTAGTTGTAGGACTGTAGGGCATAAGGCAAATTAGTTGCTGAGTGAGTGTGTAACAAGCTGGCTGGGTGCATCTTTCTGGCTGTCCCCAGGCCCATCATTGGAGATATCTAGCCAGTGTCATTAATTTGATCTTCTGATTCATTATTAAATATTTCAGAGATAGAAAATAGAGGAAAAACATATATGTGCTTGCTGTCCAGCTTAAAACAAAACAAGGACAGGGACATTTCAACACTTTGTGTATCAATCCTACATGAAGTGTTGAAATGCGTCCTCTTTCTTAGAACCAAAATCCAAGGATGCTCAAGTTCTTTATATAAAATACTGTAGTATTTGCATATCACTTATGCAGCTTCCCCTGCAGACATCATCTGCACCTTATCTAGGATACCCAATAAAATGGAAATATAAATAGTTATGATTCTACATTGTTCAGTGAATAATGGCAAAGATGCATACATGTTTAGTGTAGACATGTCCTTTGGTATATTTTTGATCTGCTGTTGGTTGAATCTGAGAAGATACAGGAATTTTATGACTAAGTGGATATTCTGTGCTTTCTTTAAACCATTCTTTCATTGATGCATATTTATATTGCTTTCAATTTTCTACTCATGTATATAACATATACAGGAGAGACGTTCTTGTATGTGAGATATTCCTATAAACCTATATATTTTATGTGCCTTAGATATTTCATAACAAGAAAACCTAAAAAAATACTGTCCTGAGAGCCAGTTTATCCTCATATTCCCTCATTAAATGTAGTTTGAGTTATTTCTCATAGGAGTCAATGCTTTTAAAATGTTAGGAAGCAATACACTGGGAGTTTAAAAAGCCATTTAGAGGGTAATTCTGCTTCTTAGAACTTCGGTTTTCTAAAGCCTAGAAGTAGAATGGTAGGCTGGCAAGAATGCATGTAATACATTTTATTTCAAACACACCAAATAGTTCTTCACAATAGTGGCAACAGTTCTTCATCCTGCCTGCTGTGTGTGAGGGCATTGGCTCTCACCCGGCTTAAAATAAAAAATTTCAAATATATACACATGAATGGGGAGAATAGAATAATGACTGCTAGGCCAAACTGACAAACAGACTCTCTAAAGATTCCTGTTTTTGCAGGTGTGGTGATGTGATGGAGGTAGCCTGCCACAGTCAGCCATGTACAGACTCACCAAGATCAACTGAAGCAAAGGGAAGCTGGGGAAATGAGCAGGATTGTAAGAAACACTGAAATGATAAGCTTTCACTATAAGAATCAGTAACATGGGTGGCTTCAGTTCAGAGGTAAAGGCAGTTGTTGGGCAAATAAATGTCCATCAGCAGTGTTTTGTTTTGTTTTTAAAATAGGGTCTTACTATGTAGCCCTGGCTGGCCGGGAACTCGCTATGTAGAGCAGGCTGGTCCTGGACTCACAAAGATCTGCCTGCCTCTGCCTCCTGAGTATTGGGATTAAAAGGGTGTGCCACCACACCCTGCAGCAGTGCATTTTGAAAGTAAGGGTGGGTATCCTTTATGCAGTGTTGTGGTTCTGGCTGTCTTTTGTGATGATTCTTGCAGTTAGGCCAATGCACCTGAGATCTCCTTCACACTTTCCTCCCTTCTTCCCTCTCTCCTCTTCCTCTTTCTCCTCTTCTTCCTGTCTCTCTTTCTCTGTCTCTCCTCTCCCTCTGTCTCTCTTTATCTCTCTGTCTCTCCTCTCTCTCTGTCCTCTGTCTCTGTCTCTCCCCCTCTGTCACTCTCTCTGGGTTGATCAGGGTCATAGTTTCTACTATTGGACTTAAAAACTTGAAAAGTGCCCAGTTCTGACTTTTTTCTAGTTCCCTGTCTAGAACTTGTAATGCTAATTACTCTTGCCTTTACTTCTCCTTCACATCT